GTGCTAGCATGAAGCCACAAGTCACCGTTTCCGAGGGTTTTGGCCTGCCGGCCTTGTTCAAATTGTTGATCACGTTAGATAACACACTCTCTCTCACAAACTGTAACTAACGTCTGCTAAGCATAGTTGCAGTATAGACCACATGTAGTCTCTGTGGGTGTTCAGGAAATACGGATGTGCCTGAGCGACCGTCTGCAATAGGGATTGGCTAGACACCCTAGTAGACGGGCATCCTCGAATACGAGTGACCAGCTATTATTATTATTATTATTATTAAGGCCTTGAAATAACCTGGGATATATTAAAAAAGAGAAATGAACTGATTGTTACATGTAGGCATAAAAGTAAATATCTACTTAAAAATGTAGACTCAGATTAACTTATGGTCATAGTTTAGTTTTTAGTTTTACGGTTTATTATAAGTTATAATTTAGTGTTAATAATTACTATGTAATGTTATTTTTAATATTGCTATTGTTTTAAATACGATTAAGTAAGCTAGCTTTAAGTAAATAATCAAAGATCCGCTACTCAAAAATAAAATAGAAAAAATGATTTTAAATAAATACGAATCTTTTGCGTTCATATGCTAATACCGGTTATTTTAATTGGCAAATATAATGTCTTAAGAAATATAATTTTTTAAAAGGATATAATTTTAAAAAATATTTAAATCCCAGTATATACTCCAAATTTCTCGTATTAAAAGTGTTTAGATATCTGAATATTTTTAAAGTCCCTAAGAGACCCATGCCAGCTGTGTCTACATGAAAAACTACATAATATTAAGTTTCTTAAAAATAACAATCTATTAAATCAACGCAGCTGTATGTCGCAGCTACAGGTAATATGTAGTTGTTCATTTTTTATATGAAAATTTATTGCTGGCATTTTAACTATATAAATGTATTTTTAAATATAAAAGTGAACACTGAACTCAACCCTAAGAGGCGACAGAATGTATCATGCTAGACGCAATTGTAGCCTGACGATTGTGTCTAGCATGAAACAGACTGTCGCCTCTAAGTGTTGACTTCTATGTTCACTTTTATATTTACACACGCTCTATCTCTGATATTGAGCCCTTTATCCCATAAATATAGCACACCTTAAAACTGTATTTCTTAAAAACTATATTTCATAAATGTATTTTTATAATTTCAGAGTGTTTTGGTTGGAGGATAACTATTTGTCCATAGCTCGGACATTAACAGGTGCTACCATCCGGGGTCAAAATGGACTTGTGAACAACATCAATTAAATAGAGGTTTCACGCTCCTCAAAACCTTCAGTCACTTAATCAGAGACGGTGCAGGTGGATGTAGTTTATCGTCATACCGAGGAATAATAGAGAAATAAGAAGGAAAGCTGGGGTCTGTGAGTTACTATTTAAGAAATCAATGTATTGGGGGTGGATGGCAGAAGAGAACGATGATGAAAAAACAAACCCGACGGAGAGCTACAAAGTACGGAAAGATGTGGAGAGCCATGATCGCTCATGTCCTGAGTGGAAACGAAACACAGAAGGAGAAGAGTAAACATTTGACCAGCAAACAATAGTTTTGAACGAATTAGTTAATATTTGCTTGTCAAAATTTTAAGAGATTGAACATGTAGCGCCAATCCCTGGAGTGTTATTAAGAATGAAGGCATTGGATATTGTTTTTAATAAAAGCTTAATGATAAAAGTAGACACAGAAAATGTAACTTTGTGTGTCGTAACTAAGAAATAGCAGAAAGTGTGATACGGAAATCTGAAGTTGCATGAAGATAGCGAAATATGCTTTTTAGAAATTAAGCAATGTATAAAGAAACAGGAAAATATCTTTCGGAATACTAAAAGAAGAGCAGAATGAGTACGTAATAAAATTTCTTGGAACATTCTGAACAATCTCCTCACAAATGTAGAAGAAAAATGGCGAGAGGAAGAAACGAGCAAGTCTTAAAGAAAATACCAACAAAAGATCAGCGATACGCAGAAAGAGAAAAAGCGGGTTGAACTTTCTTGGACACATTATGAGGAAGGATGGCTTTGAAAAATTAAGCAGCAACGGACATACCTAGGGCAAAAGAGGTAAGGGAAGACGGTAAGCTACTTACCTGACGAGCTTGGGTGAAGGGATAACGGCACGGGCGCGGGTGCCTTAGCAATGCGAGAAAAAAAAACCCACAAAAGCCTACGACGCATAGGAGGTTCTTGAAAGACCTAATCGCCTACATCTTGAAGAGACTCCGTAGAAAGAAGAAGAAGAAGAAGAAGAAGAAGAATAAGAAAAGGAAGAAAATGAAACAGAAGAGGAGGAGGAGGAGGAAGAAGAAGAAGAGGAGGAAGAAGGGGAGGAAAAAGAAAAGGAAGAAAATGAAACAGAACAGGAGGAAGAAGAAGAGGAAGAAAAGAAAGAAGAAAAAGAAGAAAAAGAAGAAGAAGTAGAAGAAGAAGAAGAAAAGAAGAGTAAGATGAAGAAGAAGAGGAAGAAGAGGAGGAGGAAGACGAAAAAAGAAGAGGAAGAAGATGATGAAAAAGAAAGGGAGGATGAAGAAGAGGAGGAAGTAGAAGTAGAAAAGGAAGAAAAAATAGATGAAAAAGAAGAGAAGGAAGAAGAAGAAAAAGAAGAAGAATCTTTTTTACTCTGTAGATATCTTCTTTTTATTATTTTTTTTAAATCGAATTCACCCTAATAAAACCACTGAGACGGAAGATTTTCCTGGGTATGGAAGAGTTATAAACAGAAATATATCAAAGAGACTAGAAAAAAAAGAAAAGTAATCAGGAGGACATTAAATAGCGATTGATATTGCTTTGAAATTTTGGACGTTTAACGTTGACTGAGAAGCATGGAGGGGGAAGTGCGAAAAAAGAAACTGTTGCCATAGAATTTACGGTTACCTCGAGCCAACCCAACTGTAAAAGTGTGAAAATTCGTCACCGATTTCGCACTGCGCTTAAATTAAACGAGTCTCCGTACCATAGAGCTCATCCGAACAATTAACGTGTAATTATTTATATAAAAGGCAAAAGTAGTCGACATTATGACAGTGAGAAAGTGACTGAAGACAAGCTACCAGATCAGGACCAATAATATTGATATTTCTTCTTTGAATTTTATCAAGGATGTCTAGATAAATAGTAGAAACACAGGATCATATGTGCCAGTAATATTCTAAGCATAGACGAATTGTAGAGTTCTAAACATAGAAACTTCTAAGCATAGACGAATTATAGACTTCTAAGCATAAACGAATGGCAGACTTCTAAGCATAGACCAATTATAAACTTATAAGCACAGACGAATGGTAGCCTTCTAAGCATAGACGAATGGTAGACTTTTAAGCATAGACGAATGGTATACTTCTAAGCATATTGGAATTGTAGACTTCTAAGCATAGTCGAATGGCAGAGTTCTAAGCATAGACGAATGATAAACTTCTCAGTATAGGCGAATGGTATATAAGAAGAATTGTCTAGCACGACACAGTGAACCAAATAACTTAGCAGCTGACATAGCAAAGGATTCAATATCAGCTTTCAACTTCATGTCAGATTAGTCCCAGAAGGAGCAAGGTGCAAATTTCCTGGAGGTCAGGAGCAGCCACATTGATCGAAAGCAGAGCGGGATCTCTCAGGTGATTAACAGAGAGCATTTTAATTTGGGAGACATTAAAATTAACAAGCAATCTTTTGAAATAATTAACAACAAAGTGAATCTCGTTTTGGATATCAGCTGCCATTTTGACTTTTTAATATTATTAGATTTTTCTTTCGAGACAGAAATAAATTGTTGTGTCATCAGCGGAGACACAGAATTGAGAGCTGATGACATTCGTCTATACCACTAAAATTCTGCTGAGTCTGTCTATATTTCTGAGATGAGGTATTATGTACATTATTTACATTATTTGGACTATTGTCCTCATCTTTGTCGCCATATTTATTACAACGTTTCGGCCTTTCAGTATCTGTCTATTTCTGAGATGAGGTATTATGTACATTATTTACATTATTCGGACTATTGTCCTCATCTTGGTCGCCATATTTATTATAACGTTTCGGCCTTTCAGTATCTGTCTATATTTCTGAGATGAGGTATTATGTACATTATTTAAATTATTCGGACTATTGTCCTCATCTTTGTCGCCATATTTACATGGCATAGTGGATAAAAGCGTTAGTTAGATCCAGTGACAGGACCCAAAGAGTGTGAGTTCAATACCCGGTTAAGGCAGTGTAGAACTTTCAGAAGGAAATTAGCAGGAGATATCTGATATCCATTAAAAAATCCATTAAAAAAGCATGGAACTATAACAGTCTACCCCAGTGAGCGAAATCAAGGGTTCAGTTCGAAATTCCAGCCACCTGAAGAAGGCCGGAGCGTACAACGGCCGAAACGTTGTGATAAATATGGCGACAAAGATGAGGACAATAGTCCGAATAATGTAAAATTCTGCTGTTTGTCTTTTTTTTTTTGATTTATTCCCTCAAATGTTTCTTTTCTAGTTCTCCCCAACAATTTTTCCTGTTCTACTTCGCTATTTCCGCCTCTTTACATCTCAACGAAATTTCCGACAACTCGTCTCCTTCAACAATTTGCACCAATGAAAAACCGGATTTCTGTTAGCTGAAAATCCATCGCTGTCTTTCACGAAAACATTGTCAAAAGATAGCAGTTTCCAACGCCTCTCTTAACACATAAATATGGATAGCAATTGGCAGGCACCGACATGGCCGTCAACACAACACAACGGAGCAGTACTTGTTATGCTTTCCACATTTTCTTCTGAGTTTGCGTGTTTTTGACAACAGTCCGTGAATGAATACTTCTGCGCATGCGTCTACATCTCTGACACTTGTGATACTGCTGTAGAGAAAATCCATATTGTTAAATGTAAACGCTTTTATTAATATTGAAATTAATACATCTCACACTTCGTCCATTCTTTCCCTCTGTCTAACAATCTATTTCACTATTTTCATATCTATCTTTTTACGTAAGTATGTATGTATGTATGTATGTATCTACCTGTCTGTCTATCTGACACTGCTTCCGTATGACTTAGCCTTCTATCTATCTATCTATCTATCTATCTATCTATCTATCTATCTATCTATCGTTATATATATATATATTTGTTGGTTCTGAAAATATATCGATTTCACGAATAATGTTTATTCATATATAACTGAATCCATTCATTATATATTTCATCTTTTGAAAATCTTTCCAGCTCGCTGCCTCATTCTTTTCAAATCTATCTATCTATCTATCTATCTATCTATCTATCTATCTATTCATGAGTTCATATACATATATATATATATATATATACATATATATATATATATATAATACTACTTTCTCTGATATATATATATATATATATATATATATATATATACACTACTTCTCTATATATATATATATATATATATATATATATATATATATATATATATATATTATATTTAGGACATTTTCTATGTTTAACGTTGTTATTTATAGATACAAGTATTTAAGTAAATGCTCTGTTTATAATAAACAGTATTAAATAACATTTACCGGCCTGAATGTCCAAAATTTTCATAGAAAATATTCGTTCTATGAAAATTTCTCGGACATTCAGGCCGGTAAATTTTTTAATACTGTTTATTAAAACAGAACATTTACTTAAATACTTGTATCTATAAAATCAACGTTAAACATAAAAATGTCTTTAATAAATAAATTGTCAACCTTGTCCATTTCTTAATATATGACGTCATTTGTTTACATTTGATACATGAAGAGCAGTTATGAATGTACGAGATTCATGGAAGATTGAAGTTTATAAGCAGTAAATTCGACCTTGTCTACCGAAAAGGTTCTTTGTGGCCCAGAGGTAAGGCACGTCAGCGTAAATGACGGTTCCGTATAGGTTCGAATCCTGTCAAAGAACGAATATTTTCTATGAAAATTTCTCGGACATTCAGGCCGGTAAATGTTATTTAATACTGTTTATCATAAACAGAGCATTTGCTTAAATACTTGTATCTATAAATAACAACGTTAAACATAAAAAATGTCTTTAATAAGTAAATTGTCGGACCTTGTCCATTTCTTAATATATATATAATACACTACTTCTCTGATATATATATATATATATATCGTGTTAATATCCCCTCCCCTTTTTAGTCGTTGAATAAATCTTTAAGGTGTTAGTGTTTTTACTTATTTTTTTTTTATTTGGTCATATGGTATGATTTTGATTTTGATTATCGCCTATAAATATGCTGTTTCTCTTGCCTCTTTAGCCAGCTTTCTCTGACGATCCGCTTAGTTGAAACTTGGGTAGGTTTGTCTGGCTCACTAGGTTTATCTAGGTCTGCTCTACGGTTGTATTGACCTCTTTTGTTAGTTGTTTACTCGTATCAGGTTTTTTTCATTGGGTCTTAAACATGTATTTGTGCGATTTTTTTCGACAGACTTTCATGTTTCTAGCACTTTCTTTTTTTAAAACCTTTTTTTTCCCTCGGGATTGATTTGATTATTGGCAAATCATAAATTCGAGGGTTTTTCAAAACGAGTATAGTTACCTATATATATATATATATATATATATATATATATATATATATATATATATATATTATTTCTCGCTGTCCTTCGTTACCTTTTAGAGGATTTTTTTTTTAATTTCTTTACCGTGTCTGCTATCAGCCCTGTTTCATCTGTGTACCTTATGCTGTTCAGACTGTGGCCGTCAATGATGAATCCTAGCAGAGTTTCTAGTTCTCTCAGAAATTTACCTCAGATGGAATATAAATACATTGATCTCTTTTGTACATCCGTTTTAATATTTGATATTACTAGGATCAACTTAGATTATATACCTGTACTATATATATATATATATATATATATATATATATATATATATATATATATATATATATATATATGTGTCTCAGTAAATAATTTACACAAGTTTTCTCTACTTATTCTTAATAGAATCCTCTCATATTTACGGACAAGTTTCTTAGTATCCTTATTAAAGTTCCAAGTACTTTAGACATAAGCTCAGTGTCATATCCAGGGTCTTGATTTATCTAAGACAAAATTGTTGTATTCACCTAAAAATTAAATTTTTTACTTGCGAAGTGAAAAAAGGCTAAACTTATTTACTGTACGATTTTTAAATTTTATGATGAAAGCATTCACGTGCAGTAACGTCAAGAAAGGATATTATGTTATTGAGATATCTATTTAAAAAAAATTATTTAAAGCTATTCGTTAAAACCTAAATATTTTTAAACTATCTACTGTAAATATTTTAAAACATGTGTGCAGTATTCATAATTAATTTTATTAAGTGTTCATATTACAAATAAATACTAATATATCCACTACAGATCCAAAAAATGAATTATATATGTTGTGGATTCCGAGATGAAATCCAGTCTCCAATGAATGACAAACGCAGGAATGAAATATGACAAATAAATGTATTTACACAATAATACAATTGTTAATACGGTTAGTAGATCCAGAAACGCGGTTAGTAGCAATAATAATATATATACACAGTCTGGTAAATCCAGTCTCGAAGTAGGACTTCCTTAGATTCTACGTGCTTGTAACTGTGACTTCTACAAGAGGTTACCTCACACTATTACTCTACCTCCAACTCAATCACAATCTCTCTCTGACTGACTCTGGGTATTAAACGGCAGCAGTCCAAGTACACACTGGTCGAGTTCACTTGTATGAAAAAAGGTTGAACCCCATAACAATATACAATACTAAATATTATCCAATTTAATAATTCGTAATGACTCCTCCCCACCATACGTTTTCTATGTATTGCACAAAACCAACAATGTATATAAAATTAAATGAAACCAACACTAAATAAAAATAATCACAATCAATAAAATTAAGTTTCGGAACGGTTGATTTCATTCTTTAAAATAGATAGCTTCAAGAATTGTTGGTTCATTTTATTATTTTCATGATGAATTGTAAATGTATTTTAAAGAAGATTTTTTTTAAATGGCAAATGTTTGACAGGCAAGCAGTTTTAAATATTGACAGATATTAGATGCATCATTCAAATGAAAACTGAACCTTATAGTCAACCTAGCTGTAGTGTGACCAACATAATTATTATTTTTCTGTTTGAAATACAAGCGTCAAAGGGACATTTAAAAACTGTTAGAAAGAGAAAGACTATATTGGAAAGACAATATTTTCTCTTACATTTTTGTGGTATATCTATAACAGTCGTTGGAAAATATAAATAAAGTTACTTAATTTAATCCTTGGCATTAAGTTTCTTTTTAAATTCTTTAATAAGTGCCCTTTTTCATAGATTTTGCGGTGAAGAAGGTTACATTTTGAATTAAATATATATAAAATTTAAATTAAATTTATGCGATAAAATTCTGAATGACACTTGTGAATTTCTCACCGAAAAACTTTGTTAAAGTTCAAATCTGCAAGTTCAAATACAATAAATAAACATTATAATTACTTCAGTATATTAAATAGTAAAGATCATTATTAAGTTAATCCAAGGTTAAAAAGTCAAATTTCCTTTCAACAATATTAACTCCTTAATCTAATAACAGAAACGAACTTTCGCGTGTTACCTGTTCGCCACAGAATATCTAAACACGGTGTAGAGTACTGGGACAAGGTTCGCCGTTATATATATATATATATATATATATATATATATATATATATATATATATATATATTTTTATAAAAGATTATAATAAAAAAAACATAGCTTTCATGTTTCGATACTTTGATTGTACTTCTTCAGGAAATGTTAAGCAACCGGTTATAATCTTTTATAGTAAAAATAATAACAATTTATTGGTCTACTTTGTATTGAGCACTTTTTAAAAAAGTAAATGCTACAAACAGTGGAATTATACTCCAGCCCTTTTAGTGTTAATTGATTTTCTCCACATTAAAAAATCTGTAATATATATATATATATATATATATATATATATATATATATATATATATATATATATATATATATATATGAAGAAATATAGTCTTAAGGCGTGCTATATTTATGGGATAAAGCGCTCAATATCAGAGATAGAGCGTGATGTAAATATAAAGTGAACATAGAAGTCAACACTTAGCATACAGTCTGTTTTCATGCTATATGCAATCGTGTCTAAGTGTTGATTGCATATGTTCACTTTTATATTTATATATATATATATATATATATATATATATATATATATATATATATATATATATATATATATATATATATATATATAAACGTTATTTTAGTGGATATATATATAAATATATATATATATATATATATATATATATGATTAAACGTTACTGTTATTGGATATATATATAAAATATATATATATATATATATATATGATTAAACGTTATTTTTAGCGGATATTAACCTTTGCATTTGTTTTTGTGTGAATAATTCATGAATTTGTAAATTGATTGCACGTTTATCGTAATTAAAATAACTGATCCAAGTGCGACTTTTGGATGGTAAGTGCGACATTACTGTAATTATTGAACAATATAGTTCATGCCACTTTGACAGAAAATTTACCAGTAAAAAATTCGTTCAACACCATATTTGTACATGAACGCACAACTGTAAAAAATTTAAAATCAATCTCAGCGTTGCTACTGCGCGCTCCAAAAACAATAACTCATTTCCAATAGCATTTTCGGATACAACAATACATATATTTTCGTTGTCCTCTTATTACTAAGAGAAAAAAACAAGAACAACATGTATTCTATACCTGAAGATGTCTGTAGGAACAGTCGAAAGATTGTAGCAAAAATAAGAACTAATACGGCAGAAATTTATAGAAACAAGGATCTTTTCATTCATAACGGATTCGGAGGTTTTTGTATATTATTTGAATTGTTTGCGATGATGGATTTCTCGCCAATTAAATCATTAACCTTTGCATTTGTTTTTGTGTGAATAATTCATGAATTTGTAAATATATATATATATATAGATATATATATATATATACATATATATATATATATATATATGATTAAACGTTATTTTTAGTGGATACTCGTGTTTCAGTAGACGCCTCGTTTATTTATAAAACATTATATTTATTTATTTTCCTCTTCTGGTTTGAATATTTGTTGTGGAGTTGTTGAACACACTAACAAGATGGACTGATTCAGCTCTCTCAGTATTCTTCTGCTGATTGGAATATTGTCTGTTTCGCAAAATAATAAGACTCTTGCCCGGGAACCAATATTGCAATTGTGATGACGTCATATCTGCTGTTGATGGTTTTTATCAGCAAGAGGATGAACTGTTTTCTTTGAACATTCTGATGTCAATTTACCTGGAAGGAACCAAGGCATTTATTAAGAAGAGTTGAAATTAATGCATGCAAACTTTCGCATATGTAGCATCACTTCTAGTATCTTTCACCGTTAAGCTATGAACTTTTCTGCCCAAACCCGTAAAAGAAAAGCTGGAAAGTAATAGCTTAGTCCTTTCGTATCCATCCATCTTAGGCTATTCAATGTTTATGTTAGTCTTTTCAGATCTATCTATCTATCTATCTATCTATCTATCTATCTATCCGAATCTGTTCATATCTATCTATCCGAATCTGTTCATATCTATCTCAAACTTTTCGTATTTCTCTCTATTTATCTTTCTATCTCAGCCTTTTAAATCTATCTATCTATCTATCTATCTATCTATCTATCTATCTATCTATCTATCTGAGTCTATTCAAATCTATCTAGCTAACCACCAGAGTATCTATCTATCTATCTATCTATCTATCTATCTATCTATCTATCTCAAACTTTTCGTATCTCTTTCTATTTATCTTTCCCTGTATCTATCTCAACCTTTTAAATCTATCTATCTATCTATCTATCTATCTATCTATCTATCTATCTATCTCAAACTTTTCGCATCTTTCTCTATTTATCTTTCTTTCTATCTATCTCAGCCTTTTAAATCTATCTATCTATCTATCTATCTATCTATCTATCTATCTCAGCAATTTTATCTCTCTCTATCCATTTCTATATCTGTTTATCTGTCTCTCTCTGTATCTAGTTCAGCCTTTTCATTATCTATCTATCTATCTATCTATCTATCTATCTATCTATCTATCTATCTACCCGAATCTGTTCTTATCTATCTATCTATCTCACATATTTCGTATCTCTCTCTATATATATTTCTCTGTATCTATTTCAGCCTTTTAAATCTATCTATCTATCTATCTATCTATCTATCTATCTATCTATCTATCTATCTATCTATCTATCTGAGTCTATTCATATCTATCTAGCTAGCCACCAGAGTATCTTCATTATCTATCTATCTGTCTATCTATCTATCTATCTCAGCCATTTTATCTCTCTCTATCCATTTCTATATCTGTCCCTCTCTCTCTGTATCTATTTCAGCCTTTTCATTATCTATCTATCTATCTATCTATTTCAGTCTCTTCATATCTGTCTTCCAACGCCTTTTTCATATCTATCTATCTATCTCTCTATCTATCTATCTATCTATCTATCTATCTATCTATCTCGCTAGCTAATTTGATAAGTATAAATCTATCTCAACCTTTTCATATCTCTTTCTATTTGTCTCTCACTCTGCTTCACTATCTTAGCCATTTAAATACATCCACCTATCTATCTATTTATCTTAGCATTTTAATTTATCTCTCTCTCTTCTCTCTCTCTCTCTCTCTCTCTATATATATATATATATATATATATATATATATATATATATATGTATCTATTTCAGTATTATAAATGTATTGCTCTCTCGTTTTCACTGAGTGCAAAGGCACACTCTCCGTTGAGGGATTGAACTGACAACCGCTATTTCACCAAATCACAAACCAAAATAAGAAGCTTATAGTCTTAAACATGATCTAGCTGCTGATTAGGCTGCAATTGCTGTTGCTGCCTGTGATTTGATTGTTGCTTCTGTGGTTGAAAACTTGCTGCCATATGTTCAATGATCAGCAAGTATAGGTTACACAAATCGATATAAATCTGTGGAAGGCCGGATGGTACACGGCCTAAACAGTTTTATAACGATACCAAAAGGAGGAAAATATTCAGGATATACATAGTGTAAATAATAACACTTCGTCTCAGAAATCCAGAAATAAACAGAAATTGTCAATACAGAGAATTCTTAAGTAATAGCGCCAAAAGGACCTCAAGACAGTAATCAGATGAACGTGACATCTCCAGACTACATCATTCGTTGTTGTTTTTGGTGTTTGGCAATGATATCAAAAGTGGCAAACAAATACGGTAATTCACTTTGTATTATACGCCTTCATCCATAATACGCACCCTTACAATTGTAATCAAACCATATAAATTGTACCTCTCCAATTTCATTACGTCCAGCGTTTCTAACTCTTAATCAAGCTGTAGTTGAAGATATTTATCAGAATTTTTGATTGTCAAGATTATAAAAGGAAACGGAAATACCTATATTGTGCCTACTGCGCAGACTCAATAACCTGTTTTTCAATCTACCGGATCTGTATGTAGTTTTTCGCAAAAAATGGTTTTAAACAGAGAATAATATTATTTAATTTTGTTTTATGACAATTCTTATTTTATTTTAAATTTGTAAGTATTGTTAAATCCATATGATTGTAATTCATATGCTTATGGGGTCGTAATCCCCGAATGTTGCTGTCAAATTGTCGTATGTTTGTGGTGAGTTGTCATTTCGCAACTGAAATCGAACAATGAAACGGCAATTGTTTGAAGGTTTTTTTTGTAGCTGTGCATGATACGCACCCCTAATTTTGCTTGTTATTTTTTAGAGAAAAAAAGCGTATTATACATAGGGAATTACATCATGTGGACCAAATTCCTGCCAGGCATGAAACATGTAAATTGACAAAAATCATACTCATACGCACATTTCAAGTTTGTGCAGAGACAACAATGCAGGGTCCACGATTATATTTTCGTTCTTTCTCTCTGACTCTATTCCGCTTCCTCAATCTCCATCTTCGGAAAACAATTTCATTTTATCAAGCCGTGTCCCATAAGGACGCATACGGAAATAACTCCACCTTGGTGGTTTCCAACCGATATTGGTATTTCTAAAATTATGGTTCCCCCCATCCCTGTAATATTTAATTCTTATATATTACAAATTTTACTGCAATTCCCATCAAGGAATCTTAAAAAACCATTAACTTGGTCTCTAAATAAGCTTCTAAAACAGTTTGACCAAACATGGCGTCCATGAAACCCTAAAAAAATTCAAAAATTGGTTTTGTATATTTCAAGTTGAAAAACAGTTAAATATATATAGATTCATAACATATAAAGGCAGAAATCATACTTTGTTTATAAAACCCAGGCTGTGTGTGTGTGTGTTCTGTTCGTTTATATATTGGATCGGATTTCCTACATTTTTCAAGCGATTTCAACAAAACTTTGATTTTGTTTGAGTTTGGACTACGTAAAATTACCTTTGATTGGTTTTGTGATTCTGACAGCGGCAAAAACAATTGAAAAAATCACAATTGTTTTTGCACAAAAACAATTTGTTTTTGGGGCATCGCTGAGAATGAAAGTTGGTTTGGTTGACAGCGGCATATCTCATATCCGAGTTATATTTTGATTATAAAACCCAGGTTGTTTAATTTGTTTGGTTTGGTCATGTTGATTTGTGTGTTCGTTTATGTATGGGTGTGTGTGTGTGTTGTGTGTTTGTGTGTGTGCAAGAAAGGGTTATTTAATGCTAAATATTTTGATTGTTTTTTGTCTGTGTGTGTGTTTGTTTAAACAACCTCTGAGGATCGGAAATCTAAATATTTTGATTTTTCAGGATTGGTTTGTCTGGTTGATTTTGTTTAGCGACATATCAACCTTCATGAATTTATTTTTAATCTGCGAATTGACAAATTTTGGTTTGGTTTGGTTGAAAATTGTCTTTCAATTTTTTTGTTTATTTTTTACATTCAGAATGGTTTAAAATATTCCATTTACAAGACAATTGTTTATAATAAAATGCTATTCAATCGATTGTAAACAACCTCTATAAACGATTGAAAACAATGTTTTTGTTTGAGTTTGGGTTTGACCAATTCGTAAAAAAAAAAATAATTTGATTGGTTTGGTTCGTCAACCATTAAACAATAATCTTTGATTGTTTTTGTTATTTTTTTAGTCTTTATGATGGTCGATACTTGATCTTTCTCTTTGATTTTGTTTACATCCCCCCTATGGGTTATTTAACGCCGGGTTGGTCTCCTTGATTTTGTTTAAAATATCTTGAATTAAATGCTTAAATATTTTGATTTTTGATCTTTTAATCAAATGAAATAATAATGCAAAATAAATATTTAATTGCTTTGTCTGGTTGATTTTGTTTAAACAATTCATCCTTTAATGCCGAAATCTTATTTTGATTGGTTTGGTTTGGTTGATTTTGTCGAATTGGGTTATTTAATTAGAAATCCCCAACCTTTTTGGTTGTTTTGTTATATTTAATTTAATGCCGAAATAAATATTTTGATTGGTTTGGTCTGGTTGATTTTGTTGCGGCATATCAACCTCATGGTTTCTTTTCCAAATGAAATTTTTGATTAGTTTGGTTCAATTTTGTTTAGCGGCATATCAACCTCTTTCTTTAATGCCTCAAGCCGTAGGTAATCATGATTGTTCTCTACAACCTATTCCTTTTTTTTTTTGTATGTGATTTTGTTTAGCCATATCAACCTCTTTTATTTAATAAATCTAAATATATTGATTGTTGGTCTGGTTTTTTGAAACTTGATTTAATGCCGAAATCTAATTCATGGAATAATAATGCAACACAAAATTTTGTTGTTTTTGTCTTAGAACAAAATGTCAACCTTGAAACAAATCTAAATTGGTTTTGTATTTTGTTTAGCGGCATAATATTTATTTAATATAGATTGGTTTGGTATATTCCTGGGTAAACGACCGTTCCTGGAGAATTGTTTAGTGTATGAACCTGATTTAATGCAAATCTAAATATTTTGATTGGTTTGTCTGGTTGATTTTGTTTAGCTCTTTTAATGATTCCTCCCTCTTATTTAATGCCGAAACCAAATATTTTTATATTTTGTCTGGTTGATTTTGGTCGGTACTCCACTGGTTTGGTCTGGTTGATTTTGTTTAGTGACATATCAACCTCTATGGGTTATTTAATGCCGAAATTAAATATTTTGATTGGTTTGTGGATCCTTTAGCGGCATATCAACCAAATCAACATATCAACCTATCATTTAATGCCGAAATCTATTTTTGATATAAAATTTAATGCCGAAATCTAAATATTTTTTGAATTCCTATTTATTTAATGATAAATGTCTCTATTTTTAGCGTTTGATTGTAAATTTTTGATTTGGATTTAATTCAAATATACTGTCTTTCTTCTATTTTGATTGGTTTGTTGGTTGAATGCCGAAATCTAAATATTTTGATTGGTTTTTGTCTGGTTGAGTCATGTATCTTCATGGGTTATTTAATTTTTTTTTATTTTTGGTCTGTTGATTTTGTTTAGCACAACCTCTTGGGTTATTTAATGAAAAAATATTTTTTTTGATTGGTTTGTTTTGATTTTGTTTTGTATCCTTTTTATTTAATGCTTCTTCATTGGTTTTTTGGAATCCAGATTCATCCTCCTTCCTTTTGTTTAGGACATCTAACCGGTTATTTTGTTCAGCGGCATATCAACCTTATGCTCTCCATTTTTTTGTTTAGCATACAACTCTATTTATTTTGCCTTCTAAATATTTTGATCTATAAATTGTTCAGCATATCATTCTTGGAAAATGCCGAAATATATTGTTTGGGCTGATTATCTTTGCTTTTTATCAACCTTTGGGTTATTTAATGCCGAAATCTAAATTTTTGATTGTTTTGGTCTGGTTGATTTTGTTTAGCGGCCAACCTCTATGGAAGAAATCTAAATATTTTGATTGCTCTGTTATATCTTATCTCAAATTCGGGGTTATTTAATGGAAATCAAATATTTTGATTGGTTTTGTCTGGTTGATTTTGTTTAGCAACATTCAACCTTTTTATTTAAGAGAAATTAATTTTTTTGTTTGGTTGATTTTGTTTAGCGGCATATCTAAATCTAAATTTTTTGGTCTGTTGATTTTGTTTGACATCAATTTGTTCTAAATATTTTGATTGGTATCAATGGCATTTAAGCGAAATCTAAATATTTTGACTTTGGTTTGGTTGATTTTGTTTAGCGGCATATCAACCTCTATGGGTTATTTAATGCCGAAATCTTGATTTTGTTTAGCGACATATCAACCTCTATTATTTAATGCCGAAATCTAAATTTTTGATTGGTTTTATTTTGTTTAGCGGCATAAAAATTTTTGAAAAATTATTTTGATTTTTTTTCTTTAGACAACCTCTATGGGTTATTTAATGCCGAAATATTGGTTTGGTTTGGTTGATTTTGTTTAGCGGCATATCAATCCCTCTTTATGTTTGGTTTAATTGATTTGTTTTAAATATTTTGATTGGTTTGGTCTGGTTGATTTTGTTTAGCAA